GCTGCTAGTGGGACTTGGCCCCAGATGTAGGAATACAGATCTCCTTGCGTTACAGTGGTTATTTGCACACCTGAACGCTACTTCGTTCAGGGGCCAAGTGCCACTTACCCGAATTCTCAAAATCTGACCGGAGATTCGGAAGATCAACGGCCAGAACTGAAGAATCAGCGTCAGCGGGACTTGGCCCCAGGTGTGCAATAACCATGGGCCAAGCTTATCAGTGTTATCACTACTCTCGACATCATGAAAAGACAAAAATCATGGCCGTGTATCTTTCGATGTTCTACAGGAAATTCACTCTCGTTTTGGACATCTTGAGAGTAGTGGAGCGAGGGGCCATGGCCGTGTATCTTTCGATGTTCTACAGGAAATTCACTCTCGTTTTTCCAGCATGAGCGGAGGCACCCCACACGTTCGGATTTTTTTTTTTTTTTTTTTTTTTTGCCAATGCTTTATTACCTGTCCAGACTTTCCTGAACCAGGAGAGACCTCCCCCTGTTCTCATCCCAGATCTCTTCCAGTCTGCTAAGATGGAGAACCTCAACGATTGTTTGATCATATTCTTCTGTTGATGTGCTGAAATCRGCTCTTCCTTGAAGACTGCGRCATTTCTTGCTTTCCAAATCGTTTCCATCACAATTCCTCTGCAGACAAGGGCTGCATATCCCCACCGATCATTCCATTTGGCCTTCTCCGGGGGAATTGCATGTAGGATCCAATCGTCACTYCAGTCCCATTTCTGATCTACCCAGGTTTYCCACATGGTCTTCCACCAAAGCCAGATCTCATCTGCAAGCGGGCAATATAACCACACGTGTTCTGTAGATTCCCACCCCCACCTACATCTTGGACAGGTTAACCTCAATTGCATGCCCCTCGATTGTAACCACAGAGCTGATGGAATGATGCCCATAGAGTGTGACCACATTAGGCTTGCCTGTTTCTGGGATGGTATTTTACGCAGTCTCTTCCAAATTTCCGGATAGTCTGGTGGGGGCTTATTAGCCTCTTGAGTCTTCTGGAACCTATGSWCAGCTATTGTCTGTGGCCTTAGCCTATTCTGACGTCGCTGAGCTACACCAATTTTAGTAGTATACCAACAAATTGGATGTTTCTTTTTTCCTCTTTCTTTCCCAACCAAACATTAAAGGCTCGACAGCATAGTCCTCTGGGTTACCTCTCAGTAACGTAGCCTGCGTCCTATTACCTAGTTGATCTTCCCAAACTCTCACTTCAGGTAGAGTATTTATGGAAGTAACTGTTCTCTCTTGCTCGAACGTTAGTGAGGTCTCCTCCGTGCTAATTCTGTCCGCCCTCCATTGTTCCACTCTCATGCCCTGACTCAGATCCGGACCCAAGACTTTTAATACTCTGTTAYTATCATCTGGGTGTTCTAACCATGTGCCTGAGGCATACTCAGACTCATCTTTCAGCAAGTTCTTCCACTGTGGTGGAATGGCTAGGAGTATTCGTTGATAATGGTCCTCGACTTTGTGCAGTCTTGTTATCCGCCTTCTAACATCTGCTGGGCGCAGCCAGTCCTGTCTAGTTTCATCCCAGATGTGGCTAATGAGATAGACCCCCTTCTCCATCCATGCTTTTGCAAAGTGGCCTGGCCCGCTGGCCGTTAAAAATGGCTGGCCCGATAGCTGGCAGATCAGATTATTGTCAAACAGGCACTGATTAGAAATTTTTAATTTGGAACTGGGTTCCTTCAGTCTACCTGGCTTGATTTTGTTCCAAGCATGCAGTATCCCTGACCAAAGCTTTGAGTGGATTCTACGCTTAGACATATTCGTCTGAACAATACTGACCCACACACTTCTTGTATCCGGCAGTGCCCATTCTTTCATGAGAATATATTCGGCCAAGATGATCCACTGTTTGTGTTCCGATATGAAGATGGCCTTGATCAGCCATTTCATCAGTAAAGCTATGTTCTGATCTCTCGGGTCCAGAAGGCCGAGTCCCCCTTGGGCCCTTGGTATGCAAATCAAATCCCAGGCCGCCTTGCAAATGAAACCATCTTGATCTTCCACCGCAGGCTTCCACAGATATCTGGCCGCAAGTCTTTTGACAGCTGAGTAGGCTTTGTCCCCCAGCCAATTAACCGTGAGAGGAAACCATAAGATTGAGAATGCTGCTGACGTCAGCACCAGTGCCCGACCAAAAAGGGACAATTTAAAGTTTCTTACCCAGCCTTGAACCCTCGCACTCACCTTGTCCTGTAGGATCTTGTCCTGGGCCGCTGCACAGTTGGTGAGGGAGACTTGCACACCGAGAAGTCTTTCTGAACTTTCTGTTGGAACTTGTCTGAGACCCCAGTTTACACAAAGTACAAACGGAGCAGGGAGGAGATATACAGATTTATCCCAGTTTATTGTAGCCTCTGATAGTAAGCAATACTGATCTAATACCTGCCTCAGTTCCTGTAACGAATTCTCACTATTCTCACACGCTACCGTCAGATCGTCAGCTAATGCTCCMCCCTTCCAGTGGATTGTGGGTGGGAGGTCCAGTCCTCYGATCCGGGTGTTTAGCCTTATGTTGTCTAGTAWTATCTCCAGTTGGATCAYAAACAGCAATGGGGCCAGGGGGCACCCTTGCCTCAGAGAACGCGTGAGTTTAAACTCCTTTGACAATCTACCATTGACCAATACTGCTGACGGAGCCTCTACATACATTGCCTWTACGCATTTGATAAACTGAGGCCCAAACCCCATTCTCTTGAGAGAGGTGAAAACGAATGGCCATCCCACCTTATCATACGCCTTCTCCATATCGAGGAGAAGGACTGCTATTTCGCGTTTTTCTGAGGATATGACCTCTAGAGCCTGGATGGTGGTCATTATATTATCAAAAATGGTCCGACCTTTTACAAATGCCCCTTGTTCTTGGCCAATAAGACTCGGCAGAAATTCTGCTAACCTTATGGCCTGCGCTTTCGCCAAAATTTTATAGACTATGTTCAAAACGGATATTGGGTGGTAGTTTCTTACTTCCGATTTACTCCCCTTTTTATATAGTAATGAAATATACCCTTTTTGAAAGCCTTCGGGGAGCCTCCCTGTGCTTCTGATGTTGTTGTATACCTCCCCCAAAAATGGGCCAAAACCCTCCCAACATTCTGTAAACAGTTCCACCGGGAGCCCATCCGTTCCGGGGCATTTTCCTTTTGCCATTCGCTTGGCTGCTGTTTTCAGCTTAGCCACAGTGAATGGACTGTCCAACAATTCTGCTGCCCCAGGTGGGAGGTGAACTTGTGATAAGTCCCAGTACTGGCTACCTTCTGAGAGGTCGGTTTCTGGAGTATCAAAGGGTCTTCTGGTAGTTACGATATCACTGAAATATTCATAGGCATGTGCACACATTGTTTCCGTGTCTGAGGCAGTCACAGTTTCAATTGAAAACGGGTGTGCTAATTCCCTTATTAAACTTTTGGACTGTCTTAACATTAATGATCTGAATGAAATTTTCGTCATTCTATCATAGCCTACAATCCCCCGTATGTTCAACCATTCCAACCTTTCAGCTTGCGTCTGTATCTCCAGGGCTTCGGTTTCTATCAAGGCGGCTCGCCTTTTCTCCGACCAATAGTAATCTGAAAATGGATCATTCCCCATTCTTTCTTCTGCGTGCGCTATCGTTTGTCTCAACTGTTTTTCTTTCCAGGATCTATTGGCCGCCTTTATGCGAGAAAAGTTCATTAATGCCGCGCGTACTATGCCTATTCCAACCTCTGCCCATTCTGAGTTTTCCTCAAAAAGATCTTTTGCTTGGTTCCACGTGGACATCTGTTCTATAACCCAGGTTTTGATTCCTTCATCTTTCAAGAGGTTCACGTTAAGTATGAAGGGGGGTCTGGAGTTCTCTACTATATCCACTGCAACCATGTCCATAATTACCGGACAGTGGTCTGACAAAGAGGAGCTCTCTTGGACATCTGCCCAGCAACACCTGTCCCACAGGGCCCCTCTTGCCAATATAAAATCCAGTCTACTTCTGGGGCCCATTGTCTGTTTGGATGGTCTAGGGCCATACCAGGTGTACCCATTTGAGTCTGGGTTTAAAATACGATACACATCCACAAGAGCTTGAATGTCAATAAATTCATTGAGTATTTCTACGTCCGCCCTTGTTGGGTACCTGGAAAGTGAGTCCAGACCTGGGATTTGAATAGTGTTCCACTCCCCTAAAATCAGTAAATTCTCTATGTCCGGAATAAACCTCGGGAGTTCCGCCAGGAAGTCTACCCGTAGGTGCAACTCCACTGGGGCATAAATAGTCATAACTGCCCACTCTTCATTTTGATACAGAAACTTTATCCAGGCCATCCGACCCCCTGGATCAGCGTACGAGTCAAGGAGGGCAATCTCCAAATTTTTATCTATGAGTATCGCGACCCCTCCGCAGGATCCATCCGATGGAGCCCATATCTGTGGTCCTTCCCACCGGGGGAGAATTTTCCTAATCTTTCTAGTGTTGAGCTTTGTTTCTTGTAGCCCTAGAATTTGCACATTAGTTGAATGCATCCATTTCCTTAATCTAGCGCGTTTATATTTTTTATTAGTATCACCCAATCCACGAACGTTCCAAGTTGCAATCCGCAGTTTAGGCGGTTGGACCATCAGGCCTCACCCCGCCGTCTTGTTGGATACGGCTGCAACCGGAATGAGGGGCTGGGTTCACCGGCCCCATTTTGCTTTTTCCCATCTCCTTCTGGGTACCCCCTCCAGATTTTACTGCCTGCAATATTCTTGCGAGGGTTTCCTCCTTTAGGAGGTCCTGGACGTTCTGGTGTTTTATCCATTCTGTGACCACTGTCCCGGATCTTCCTTCAGGTAAGTGCAACGAAGCTAACACGCTTATATTATTAATCAGAAAATCCTGCAGTGGAATCCAATGGACCCGCAGCTCACACCATTTGTCAAATGAATCATTTATTGATCTCAATCCCAATACTACAAAATGAAAGATCAACTTTAGTTTCTCCTTCACCACAGACAAATACCTGTTCATTTTAATAGTTGGGATACGAGCCACTATTCCCATGTGATTGAGAACGTGCCTCTTGGTGAGCTCTATCACTTCCTCATCTGAGGGGGTGGTAGTGATGGGAATCACGGGTAGTTCGAGCCCCTCTTTCTGCGTTATGCGTGTGAGCACCATAATTCCATTCACCGTATCTGAGCAGATCAAGGGAGTAAGGAATTCCTTGGCGGGTCCACCGTCTTTTATTGCTCTCGTTATTGTTCTCATTGGGCCCGCCAGAGACAATTCCTTCCTCAAGGATCTGCAAAGGAGTGACCGGTTATGCCCTTTAAATTCCTCCTCTGGGGGACCTGTGTTTTGAGCATCCTCGGCCACATTCATGGAAGTCCCTATCCCAGGGGTGTCATTTTCTTTCGCCCTCTTGGAAGGGGATTCCAGCCCGCTACTTTCTTGAAGATATATCCCTGTATATCGATTGAATGGATTCTTCTCCCCTGCGCCTGTCAATCCCCCTCCTTTGGTCGATCCACCCTCCTCCCCTTTATCCCCGTCCACCTCCTTCCATTCAGCTTTCATATGTCCTTATGTGCTAAGCACAGGACCGGGCTTCTCTTTGTCAAGAAAAAAAGAGTCATTCGTATAAATTCTAAAATCTTTAAATGCGAAATTTTCTTTGGTTTTTGGAGTATCCGAAACTATAGAATTACCATCATCCCTGACCTCTTCGTCCTCCTCCTCCTCCCCTTCACCGTTCCCTTCTCCGGATAATGACTTCCCAACCACCCTCAGGAAAACCTCTTCCGCCTCTTCCTCTGAGTCCGCATCTGATTTCCAATCTTCCCCGTTCGCCTGCTTTCCTTCCTCCTCCCCCCTTGTTCCTACCTCTTCTTCGTCTTCATCCCACCTTTCCCTGGGGCTCTTCGAGTTCTCTGAAGGGTCAGTATCCTCTGAACTATCTGTCTCCTCCGACCCTTCGGATGCCCCCAACCCCTCTTCCTCCGCAAATTTGTCCTTTGTCATCATGCTTTCATGTATTAAATTAATCATTCCCCCTCCCCCTTTTGTCTCTGTAAAATCCCTTCTGCTGCCCTTCGGGGTGGGGTGTTGGTCTCTTTCATTTTCAATCCCCGTATGCATTCCTTCTGCTTCACTCCTTATGTCCTTCCCTACCTCTTGAATCTCCTCGGGTTTTGACGCTGGTGAGAGAGTAGAGGATGGGGGTGGGGGTGGGGGTGGGGTTGGGGGTGGGGTTGGGGTTGATGTTTCTTTTTCCTCCCCTTCTTCCAAAACAGATCCCCTTCTCCTCAGAGGGAGGGCAGAGGTTTCTTCCTTTTCTGCTATAGGTAGTGCTGGGGATTCCTTCTTGTCTTTTCCTTTTTCTTCCACTGTCTCTTCCCCTTGGCCACCCCCTTGTCCTCCGTTCCCTTCCTCCTGTTCTGAGACGTCTATTGGTTGTTTCTCTCCCTCTTTCTCTCCACCCTTTGTGGCTTCTTCCACTTCTGTGTCCTTATGGCTTACCTCTTTCCCTTTGGCTGCGGCTTTTCGCACTTCGCGGTATACTTTTTTTTGCTGTTTCCTCCCCAGCACTCTTCGATTTCTCCCCCGTGTGTCCTTCTCTTTCCCCTTCACATTCGATTCCGTGTTTCTGTCCTCCCCTTTGGATTTTCCCAGACGGGTGCCTTCGTCACCTTCATTACCTTCTGATTTCCCGTCTCCCCCCTCCGATTCATGTTCTTTCTCTGGCCGCTTCTCTGGCTCCTTCTCCCTTTCTTCTCCCTTTTCCTTATCTCTGCCCCCACCGGATCCCTCATCCTGCCCACTTTTCCCTCCACTGGGTCCTTTTCGCCCCACGTTTTGCCCCTCCTGTCCCTTTGAGTTCCGATTTTTGTTCTTTGGGCATGACGGGTCTCCAGCAAAGTGGTAGAATTGTTTACACGAGGCACACCATGGTGTATCGGCCCCTATGACTTCCAATTCCACATATCCATGTTCAGCTAGGTCCACGCATAACCATGGTTTGAACCGCAGTCTTGCGGAGGATACCAAGTCGAACCTGATATTTAACAACTCGGGGGAATTGGGTTCTTTAAAAGCCGGATAGGATTTCAGTATCTGACCAAACGCATCCTCCACAACGTTCTCTAGCTGTGGCATCGCCGAGACTGGTACCTGCAGACACTTAATCCAAAAATAGTTAAATCGCATCGCCTCCCTCCACTCTTGAAGTTGGAAATCATTTATTCATGGTTGGAAGGTGAGCGAGTATACTTTCTCATCCAAAGTTGCCTTCTCATGCCTTTTCCGCAGCATGAAGGTAGCCACTTGTGCAGAGACTGACACATAAGTCACTAAGTTCTTGCACTCGTTATGGAACAAGCCTCTCTTGGGCAGGACATTGATCGCCCGACTGGTTGCCCAACCATCCTCATAGATCCTGACTAATCGTTTTTTAACTTCCACTGGTAATGACGTGGTTTCGTCCCCATAGAGGATAGTTACGGTGTGTTCTTTTAACCAGTCCGCCTGTATACGGAGAACTTCCGGGTTGATAGTCACCCTGACATAGTCCTCTCCCACCTCCACTGTGTTTGGGGAGGTATTAGGAGACAACCGACGAGGCATGATCCCATCCGAATAACAGGCGCTGAGAATGTCCCTTATCCTCTGTTTCTCCGCATCCAGGATAGGCGGGGTGTGGGGCTGGGCCGAGGAGGACGAGGCCCCGTCGGCCCCTGGCATGATGACTGGACTTTCGTCACTACCCTGAACCTTAAGTATCCCCAATAATAAAATAATAACGAAATAAACTCTAGTATTACTCATACAGAGGCAATAATAGACTGGGATAAATAAGATATCCTTCTCTAAGAAGAGCAGACCCCACCTAGTTGTCGAATTATACCTCCAACTTCACGGTGCTTGACGTGTTGACTTCACAGCTCGGGAACCAGCTTGTTTACTTCAGCCTCTCTGCCTCACCCACACCGAATAAACTTTGCCACCACGGGCAACGAGCAGGGCCGAGTCATATCCCCAAAGACAATCTCCCCTGCCCGCTACAACCCACATTCATGACCGGGTGAGCGAGGGGGCTTCCTTCAACACCGGTGGCAGTTTGCCTTGGAAAGGGCTCCGCGTCATCCTTCCTTCACGTTGAACGAGTCAGCCTTCGTTCTCCTCTGGATCTAGTCCAGCGTCCCTCCTATGTGCGAGGGCCTGGAACTTGCCGATGACGAAGCCCCGGAGACCCATTGCTGCCCCACGTTCGGATTTTGGCCTCTGGACAGTTCTTTTTTTTTTAAGCTGACGAGGCCAAAAAAGCTACAGGAACTTGGGCACGGAAGGCAAGATTCAGTCCACGTTCAGTCACTGTGTCAGCTGGTTCGTGGACTGAATCTTGCCATCCGTGCCCAAGTTGCTGTAGTTTTTTTTTGCTTTTTCTTTTTTTTTTAAAACCTTTTTGGAAAGTTGGTCAAAACAGAAAGCAAGGAGGCCGGGCACCTCAGAATTCAACCCGGGCCATTACCCAGCTTCGGCTCACCCCTGGAAACCTTTCCCAGCGTCCCAGCTTGCTATCAACAAACGACTTCCCGAAAAAGTTCCTTTGAAACTCAGAAAAAGAGTCTGCCTTACTACTGACGGCAGCGACGACGGTCGCTCCTAAGATACCTTTTTTTCTCCTTCAATGGACAGCAAACCTCGTGAAAGTGGACAGTCCCAAGAACCGGAGCCGAAAGCCGGCTCCATCCGGTCTACTCAAATGTCCAAATTCAGCCTCTTCGCTGTAACAGTTTTGAGCTTCCTTTCGCTCGATAGCGCTGCCAACATGTTTACTATAGTCCAGGCTATTCTGAATACTAACCAAATCGCTGCTGTGGATCTGACTGATTGGGCTTCGTAAGTAAGCAACGCTGCACTGGTGGCAGGAAGTGCTGTTCAGTGTTCAAACGATAATGATTGGATTCTGATAATCATCAACACTTTAGTTCACAAAGTAGCCGACATAGAAGTCAGACTACGTGCTGTGTGGCTTCGTTGTTTCATTGTGATCTCGTCATTAACTACGATGGCTCAACCTGCGTCCAATGTGCGTACCTGCTTGCTTTGTGCCCGAAGTTTGCGGCTTGCGGCGACCTTAAACATGCGTACGGTCTTCTTCTTCTTCTTCTTCTTCTTCTTCTTTTCTTCTTCTTCTTCTTCTTCTTCTTTTCTTCTTCTTCTTCTTCTTCTTTTTTTTTTTTTTTTCTCCGTCCTCTATCTTCTGTCTCCCCCTCTTACCTCTCCTTATGCATGGTGACTGTTTCTCACGGATTGATGCGTGGTGTGGATCTGACAGATTTAGCTTTGTAAGTAAGCACAGGTGCTCATTGGTTCATCAGGTAGTGCTTTTTTTTTTTTTTTTTTTGAAACACAACTATAGTCATTAGGAATGGTGATAAGAGCAGCCATTCCTAACCACCCAGTTGAGACTCCAATCTATTGGTGGGGAGTATCACCTGCTGAAAACCGGGTTCAACGTCCCTTATACTGAAAAATGTCCAATGTTAAAGCTTGATAAGAGTCAAAAAGGATCAAAACCACCTCTTCAGTCCTGATCAGACCGCCATATAGAACATGCACCTCTAGCAGTTCTAATCCTCCTAATGATGATTAATCATTCTTCATTATCTGACCCCTCCCACCAAACCATTGATTTTCTACTAAAGCTAACTCTGAGGGAGGGAACAGTTCAAAAAAACATGCAGCATCTCTGAGGAATTCCCCTGGCTGAATATCAAACCAGTCATAAAAATGTTGCAAGTAACTCTTCTTGAGAGGCATCCCAGACTCATTCTCATCAGGCCATACCACATGTCCAATTCCTTGCTCCTGAGAACCCCCTAGCCAGTCCATTGTGAATTTGAGAATAGATTTTTGGATGTCTTTCTTCTGAGTTAGAGATTTTAATTTAACTTTAAGATTAGCCCATTGAGCCCGAATTTCTGTTTCCACAAATTCTGAGAACAATCCCCCCCTTCCATACTTACCACCTCCACTACATATACACACCTCCTTTGCCATATGGCCCATATTAAGCTTTCCTACCAAGGTAAAATAGATTTGACTGAAAGGTGGAGAGGGACAGATCACCCAGATTCCATTGTCCTAGTAAAAGGGCTCTCCACTCCCAAGGCCACTCAAGGCCTGTTAGTCTTCGCCAAATACAGTCCCAAGGTCGCCACATAAGGATGGACCCTGGAAACTGAGTAAAAACATGTTCAATCGTTTCTCTATATTTACTTGAGGGAAATGCTATTTGACAAGATTGGCACCATGGTAACGCCAAACCCCTTTGTTCCAGTGTTGAGTGATCTATCAACCAGTCTGTGATGAACCACTTCCCGACCCCGTGCCATCTTTCGTACCCTTTCTTTTGGTTGTATCATACCAACCCCAGAAAAACCCCGTTTTGAGTTTTTTCCTTCGGGTGCCGCATTTTCCATTTTGAGAGCTTTTTCGACTGTTGAGTTCTGTTTTTCTTCTTGCAAAGTCGGAAAATACATGGGAATTTACGTGCGCCTTAGCGAGCGCACTGGGAATTGGGCTCAGTAGTTGGGAATTTCGGGATAAGCGCAACTTCGACGTGTCCTTTTTAGGTATGTGAATGTTCTTGGGCGCGTCTGGGAAAACTCTCGAAATTTTGCATGAATACGAATAGGTGTAGGATTTTCTTTTCCCGCGTCGCTTTTTCGCGCGCGGATATGGTGATTTCAATTTTGAAGTAGGATAGAAGCAAGCTGTAACTGTTTCGGTGCCTTTTCCTTTTTTTGTTGACGGCGCCGTCCATGCAAAAGCTTCCTCCTCTCTGTCCCCCTCATCGCTCCCCCCGCGCCTTCCTTCCCTTCTCCCTCCTTTTTCTCTCTCCCCGTAACTGTTTTTCCTTCAGACTCTCTCTCTCTCCCGCCTTGCTTCCGCGCGCCCATTTCCCTTTCTTGATCATCTGAATCTTGGACCCGTCTTGCACCACCTTTCGCGCCTTTTCTCTTCTCACCCTCTACATCTGGCGTACGACACCCGGTCGATCCCCCGATAACTCCCGCTCGCCAATGAGGTGCGTGGATCAGTAGGACCTTCCTATCGCGCGGTGAATCTGATTGGTTGAACCTTGAATTCCGAGGGATCAGCATGGCGTTCGTAGAGCACTCTTGCGGATTGTTATCCTTGACGTGAGTGTAAGGCGGCGACGCCGAACTTCTTTTCGGACCTTGTCGTCTTCTATTTTGACTCTCTCTCTCTCTCTCTCTCTCTCTCTCTCTCTCTCTCTCTCTCTCTCTCTCTCTCTCTCTCT